ACTCGGCTACACAATTGCTGCGGCAGGGTAGCGAAAATCCACAGCCACCCACGCGCGCGCCAACGCCTGAGAACCTTCGTCGTTACATTCCCAATCAAGTTCGCCCACCGACATCGCGCCACCCGTTGGTGCGCTGGCCATTTGAAGCTTGCTTAAGCAGACGAAGCGCGAGTTAAGTGGTAATAGGAAGCCCGTCGAATTCACAATGTGTCTGGGCCAAACATTTGCGGTTGCGGAAGAAACGAGGAAAGACGGAAAGGATATATAGGCTCCCACATGGTGCTTGCACATCACTGCTGGGGCCGTCGTTATTACAAGTGGCAACGCACTACATCATGTTCCGAAACATTACAACTACATAGCGCAATTGCCTTCCCCGCTGCGCACGAGCAAAGTTCGCAAAGTTCGCAAAGGGGCGGCGTGCCATCGTATTAATGTCACACAGCATGGCTACACTACATATTAGCGTCGCCGTCATTGCTACATTTCTCCTGCGCACGAGCGAGCATTCGCGCCCCTCTGTCCCGCGAGCTTTTGGAATCCACCAGTCTCTGGCCGCACGAGTCAGATCTGGTGTCCGTTCCCTCAGGGTCGGCTTGTCATCGTCGTCGTCGTCGTCGTCGTCGCTGTTTGTGACGTTCCTCGGCTGCGGCGGATCTGGTCTGCAACGGAGCATTCGAAGTCGACGGGCCTCGCGCCAATCCCTGCTTGGCGTTTCTCTTCCGCCCCTCCCCCTTCTCAGCTTGCGCATCCGCCTCCAACCTGTAAGAAAAAAACAGAGTTGCCTTTTTTTATGGCTCCGAAGATACCACTGAAACCAGAAACCAAACAAACACGCGTTATGTTTCGCAGGTTGGCTTGAGATCCTTGCAACGATAAGCCAGCAGGTGTTTGTTTTATGGTTGGTGTGAGATCTGCGTGTCGGGAAGCAACTCGGCAGCTATAGCTCCTTTTTTATAAAAACACTACCCGTTGTGTACAAGCTTGTTTCACCTTCGGAACCAGGAAAATCAGAAACTATGATGTCCACTTGCTTTCGCAACAAGAACAAGCAAGGAGGAAGAGAAAGAGGAGGAGAAAAAAAAAATGGACAGAGAGAGGAGGAGTAATTCAGCAGGGGGAAGAGAAGGAAGATGAGCAGAAGAAAGAGGAGGAGAAGGAGGAGGAGGGAAAACAAAAAGCTAAAACCGCACAAGCCTGTAACGAGATTGCCGCCCCTCCTCCTCCTCCTCCTCCTCCTCCTCCTCCTCCTCCTCCTCCTCCTCCTCCTCCTCCCCCTGCCGCCCCTAGGGATGTCGGAGGGGGCAAGCGGGAACAGCGAGAGCACCGCGCCAGCCCCCCACGGAGAGGGAACCACGACGAGTGCTGCTACCCCCCAGCGATCCGATGCCTTGCGTTTCCCAGTGCGGGGTCCCCAGAATAGGGGCCAAACAAACCTACCTCGCTTTTGACCACCCTCGCTTCCAAGAGATACCAAGCGATGCCAAACCACGGCCTGTACTGGTCAGGCCGCTTGACGAGGAGGCGCGTGGTATGACTTGGTTTTGCCTGGAAGCGAAAGCGGGGTAGGTAATTCACGCTCTGGCAGAAGTCCTGGCCCTCGCCCCAGGGCTGGCTTTTCGTCCTGAGCCATTATATAGCTGGCGGCCCTGAGGCCTTGGCGAAGGCCCCCAGAGGCCAAAAACGACGCAAGACATCCGTCGAAAACTGGACGAGCGCGTTCCACTACTCGCAAAATGACTACTCGCAAATGGCCTGGATCCGCCGCGGGGGATCCTGCGATAAAGTCGATCGTAGCAGACGGCTGTGTTTCGGACGTTTGCGAGTAGGCACTTTGCGAGTAGTGGAACGCGCTCGGTGAAAAACGTTGCAAGCCTGGGTCCTCCTCGCCCTCCGCGATCTTCGCCCAATGCCACTCGCCGTTCTGCAGGGCCCAGACGTCGTCCCCAGCGGCCCAGGTCGCCGGCGAGCACCAGTCCCAGGTCCTCTGGCTCCACAGCGGCCCGCACGTCTTGGCGACGCCCGAGAAGACGTCCAGGCGATCGGCCTCGTACTCCTGGGGTGGTGGTGGGGGGGCAAGATCAGTCAGCATCGAATCGAGAAATCGTACTGGCTCGGAACATGCGTCGGATCGGGCGGCATCGGCACGGAATCGGGATCGGATCGGATCGGCCGCGCCAGGATGCGCAGCAGCGCCATGCAAGCATCAGGCCGCATCGGGCGGTCGGAGGATTGGAATGACCGGATCGCACTTGCCCCTGGGGGGGTCTCTCACGCCGCGGGAGAGCCGGAGAGGGAGGAAGAGGAGGAGGAGGAGGAGGAGGAGGAGGAGGAGGAGGAGGAGGAGGAGGAGGAGGAGGAGGAGGAGGAGGAGGAGGAGGAGGAGGAGGAGGAGGAGGAGGAGGGAGGAGGAGGAGGGAGGAGGGAGGAGGGGGGGGGGCTGGGCGCACGGAAACGGCGAGGTTGTGCTGCTGTGCTCAGCGCCCCGCCCCTCCCCGAGCCTCACCCGCCTCGGGGCCGGACGGGGCCTCCCCGCCCCGCCCGCCCCCAACGTGCGCTCCCCTCGGGGCCCTCTCCTGCCCCGCCGCGCGGTCCACTCGTGCCTCCCGCCATGATCCCGCATGATCAGCACCGATCGTCCTCCCCTCCGACATCCCGAGCCATCGGTCTGGAACGGTGGGCTTGCTTTCCACCGCCGCCACCGCAAGTAGGAGGGGGAAGGGGTCCCCCTCCTCCTCCTCCTCCTCCTCCTCCTCCTCAGAAGTCCTCCTCCTCCTCCTCATCCTTCGCCTCCTTCCCCCCTCCAACTTATGGTGGTGGCGGTGGTGGAACACGGGCCCGTCATGGAACAACACCGACCTGGCCGAATCGAATGTCTTCGGGCTTCCTCTGCAGGGTGCAGCTGCCTGCGCGCCTGGCGGAGCTGTGGGGGAGACTGGCGGGACGGACCAGGGGGTCTCTCACGCCGCGGGAGGGCCGGAGGGGGAGGAGGAGGAGGAGGAGGAGGAGGAGGAGGAGGAGGAGGAGGAGGAGGAGGAGGAGGAGGAGGAGGAGGAGCAGGAAGAGGAGGAGGAGGAGGAGGAGGAGGGGAGGGGGAGGGGGAGGGGGAGGGGGGGGGGGGAGGGCGGGACGGCCGCTCGAACCTCACATTCCCTGCGGGGGGCCGGCAGCCGGGGCCCATCTTGTGGCCCTCTCGCGGCCCCGTGCCAGATGACGGCCCTCCACGGAAGCGGGGTGGGGCAGAGGCATTGGGTTGTGATGGTGGTGGTGGTGGTGGTGGTGGTGGTGGTGGTGGTGGTGGTGGTGGTGGTGGTGGTGGTGGTGGGTGGAGGGGAGGAGGGAGGAGAGGAGGAGGAGGAGGAGGGAGGAGGAGGAAGGAGGAGGAGGAGGGGAGGAGGAGGAGGAGGAGGAGGAGGGGGAGGAGGAGGTGGAGGACCCTCGACTCTATGCTTATCCGCGCCGTCGGATCTCTGAATGGCCATTCTCCCGCACCCTCCGCTGGCTCCGTGGGGCTGCAGGCGGAGGGGAAGAAGGGTGGAAAAAGAGGAGTCCATGGGCATGGCATGTTGAATCTGGATTCCGCACGCGGTCCGACTCTAATAAAAGGGTCGGACAAACTGTTGGGGAGCGTGCAGCCTTCCCATCTGCATCCCCGTCAGGATCGAACAAATGCGCGCGGGCAGAAGCTCTCACCGTCGACGTCGTTCGCAAAGGCGATCGCGGGGCACCTCAAGGATTCCAGGCCTGGCCAAAATTTCGGCGGGTTCCCTCCGAAACGCCGACCGCAACAGTCCGATGTGGCGAGAAACAATAAACGAAGTGGGTCAGCGCCCACATCCAAGGAGACTCTTCCAGAGAGAACGCATGGCATGCCTGCAGGAGACATGGTCCCTGTCTGCAGACCACTGCCTGGATTTCTATATCTGACCGTACATGTCAGGCGACACATTGGGGCGAATGCACCGCCCTCAAGCTCTCAGCAAAGCGCAGCCGCCCACGTCCTCGCCCCCTTCGGGTCCCCCACACGGGCATGCACACATACACTAGACAAAACAGTAATGCATATGTTAGCCAGCGTGAACCCCAAAGAGTGTGTGCGCTGTTGCACTGTGGAGGTGGAACCTATGCGGTGCGAGCTATGTGAGTGAAAGCTATGCCGTCTCAGCTTTGGAAGTGGAACCGTGCGGTGTACGCTATGCGGTGCAGGTTATGCCGTGCGAGTTCGGCGGTGCGAGCTGGAGGTGGAAGCGATGGGGTGCAAGATAGGGTGCATAACCTATGCGGCGCAAGCCGTGTAGTGTGAGCCGTGTGGTGTAAGCCATGCGGTGAAAGCTACGCCGCGCAGGCTCAGAGCACGAGGCGCCCACGAGGTGCCCACGAGGCGGCACAAACGGCAACGTGCCCCCAGCGCACGGGGCGCCCGCGAGGGCGCCAACGAGGGCGGCAACGTGGCGCGGCGTACCCCCCAGCGCACGAGGGCGCCCACGAGGCGGCATGGGCGGCAGCGTAACGCAACCTCGGCATACCCTCGAAGCGCGGGGCACACGGGACGCACAAAGACATACTGGTACCATGTGTTCTCCTTGGAGGTGCGCGTCCGACCCAAACATATAGTATGCCCATCTTGTAGTATATCTATTCCCAGGCGTCGTGGCCAGAAAGCGCCCGCCACGACGCATATACTATAAGATTTCTCGGTGCGCGCATCGCCCCTGGCGGGGCGACGCACATATAGTATATGTATGTTGGGATGACGCCGAGCACACACTAGGGGGTGGCGAAGACCCGGGAAACCCCACCAATTTACTTGACCAAGAGAGATAGGCAACCCTAGCTGCAAGCATCCTCGGGAAAACAGCGGGACTTCCCTGCTACACTGCACTGCCGGACTGCAAGTGATTGCCCCTGGCTCCAAGAACTCGTCGGCCGAGCGCGTCCAATGCTGTGGGTTGCTCGTGCTGCTCCAGTACCCCTCCGCGTCTAGTCCCCAGAGCGCGAAGTCAGAGGCCGTCTTCGGTTGAGGGCACACCGCGTTGCATCCCAGCGTCGGCTCCAGCAAGGCGATCCACCTGAATGGTTCGATGAACGGGGTGCGTATGACACGGGCCCCTCGAATATGCGGGGAGTTCTTGTCATTTGCTGCGGGCGTGTCAAGCTCCGCGACGTGTCTCATTGCCTGCGCCTCGCAGAAACCTACCTAGTGCGCTGTTTCAGTCCCAAACGGCGGTCTGAGACCAAACGATTGCAAAGACCGATCGATGGCAGATTCGTCAAGTCTGCGAGGGTGTTGCAAGGGCGCTTGGGGCCCTAGAGCTTTCGACTGGAGGACCCAACCGAATGAGGTTTGGGAAAAGGCAAAGGCAAATCTTGCCGCAACTCACGGGAGCCTCCAAGGCACTCAGTCCCCCTGGCGTCGGCACTGACCCAAGCCAAGCTGCTCCTCAAGATGTGGCGTCCGTCAACCTCCGCGCAGTGCTGAGCAGACGAGCTCGTGCACCCGCTGAGCCGGAGACCCGCGAGGTGCACATGTCAAGCCAAAGGACAAGGAGGAGACAGCTGTGGTTAGAGGAAAGAGAACTATGCACATACACCGATTCTGGCCAGGCCCGTCCTGAGCCCAGGATCGGTGCATACGCCCTCCTACCTTGGCCAGGAATGTATATGCACCGATCTTGGATCAAGGATGGGCCTTCCCAGGGTCGGTGCATGTGCATAGTTCTCTTCGCCCGATGTGGTGGTGGGGGGGGACGATAGCAGGTCACCACCAGGCGTTGGGCCAGCGAGGGAGGAGGGATGGAGGGCCGCAGCGGACGCCGGGCCAGCTCCGCGGCAAGGGCAAGCGGGCAATTTGGGCGCAGCCCGCTCGGCACCGTGCGCGAAGGACGGTGTCGCCCCACAGAGAGATTCGAACGAGGGTGTGGATCGGCCCTCCCGCCCCCTGACGACCCGCTGGGCTTCTCACAAGCCTTCAGGGTCTGCCCAACGCGCCTCATGCAAGGCCGTGGATGCTCGTCCAGTCGATTAGGAGTTTCTGGGTCTGCGTGGTGCCCACTCTTTGGGTCGGCCTGGGGGGCCTTTTTATGCATCACGGAAGCATTCCAATAACGGCCCTGATTCTGACCGACAGCGTCACACCTGCTTCACGGCGGCGCGCCGACGGGGGTGGCGCGAGGGGGGGCCGCTGTACGAAGGCGGGGGGCTGCTCAGAAGGCAGGAGCCCTCTCAAAAGGGCCCAGCGGTTCTAAGACAGGCTTTCTGGAAGACGGGAGGTCGTCGAAGAAGACCCCTGCGTGCTCTCAGAAGCCCCCCCCCCCGCCTTCTTGCAGGCCGTGCCCCTCGCGCCACCCCTTTGTGCGCGCCGCCACGCTTGCGCAGGCCCTGAAAAGCCTCCCACGAAACACCTGCTCGGGTGGCAGCTTCTGGGGCAACCTGACCCCGCAGCTTGGGCATCTCTTGGGGACGCCCTTTAACTACGGCGAGGGCATTGGATAAGGAACCATTGGATAGGGGATCCAGGGTCCTGAAGCTGGTGGAACACCAATAGTGGATTGGCCATGGATATCACTGCCGACCTCATCAGATAAGGAATCCTCCAGGGTCTGAAGCACCCTGGGCACATTCCTCAACGAACGCCCCCACCGTAGCGCCAGCGGGAAAAACAATCTGCCTCCAGGGGGCCTCAGGGTCGACTGGCTCTCTCTCTCTCTCTCTCTCTCTGCGCCGACAGGCGCGCCATCCACCCACACAACGGAGGAGATGCTGCCAGCGCCACGCCGCCTGAAGCGTCGCGGAAGAAAAAACACGGAGAGGCGCGCGGACACGGAAATGGGAGCCACGGTGCCCGCCTGGTTTCGCTTTCCCCCCGGCCCACCCCCCACGACGAGCAGAAGGAGGGGAGCACATTCCAGGCGTTCCAGGCTCGCCTTCGAGGATCGAAGGAGTTGACATCTCTGTCTCGGCGGAAGACTGGCGGAAGCTGGCGAATGTACAAGGAAGGCGGCTCCGCTGGCTGCAGCCAGCGGAAGTTCAGCGGAAGCCGACGGAAGTCAGACACGTGTCCCCCCCAAGAGTTGCCAATGTTTCGGGTGGCAGATTCGGATGAGGATAAGTCGCGGATCTCTGCCAGCCAGCGGGTCTGTGGGAGCGCTCCCGAACGCTGAAAGATATATCCGCATCGGCCTCCCTGGCTTACCTCTCCCCCGCCCGCCCACGAGATGCAACCTCCAGGTTCGTCCTCTCTCACGTCGGCTGGCACTGCGAATGAGATCCCGGCGCCGCCAGGAGAAGCGTGAGGCCACGCCGGAGGAGAGAGGGGAGGGAGAAAGAGAAGAGAGTCAGGGTGCGTGCAGCCATCGTGAGGCCGTAGGGGGGAAACAACGAAACAATCTTTGTTTGGTCTGCGGGTCGAGAGCGGGCCTCCTCCGGTCAAGAGCTAGGCGGGGCGCGCAAAGCACTAATTGGGGAGACATGGGCGCGGGCGGGCGGTAACAAAAAACAGCAACAAAAAAGAAGGGACAAACAAAAACGAAACAAGGAATGAGGGGGCTCTCCCGGACACGGCGGGCCTGGGCCACGAGCACACTCCCCGAGGCCACGAGCACACTCCCCGACCCGGGTCAGTGAGGAGCGGCCCGAGAGCCAGAGCGCCCCCCTCCGGAGCCCGAGGGCTGCAGCTGGCCCTCACGGCCGGACCAAAGGGCAGACGAGCCTCCTTTTCGAGAACGGGAGGCCCTGCCCCGGCCAAGCCGCGGAGCACTCTCGAGGGCGCCCCCCCCTCCCCCCCCCGGGATGCACGAGACCAGCCCACGAGCACGAAGAGCAGCAGGGTAGCCTCCCCGGACCGACCTCGACCTCGGTCCGACCGTACTTCGGGTACGCCGAAAGGGGGAGGGGTCAGGAAGATGGGTGGTAGCTGCTGGTCCCAAGAACATACACCACCACCAGTTCCATTCCTCCTCCCTCCCCTCCCTCTCCTCTGCCGAAGGAGAGAGGGAAGGGGGCGAGGGATGTGGTGGTGGTGTATATTCCCTGGCCCTGCACTGGCGCCCCACGGCCCGAGGCACGCACGTGGCCGAGGGAGAGCGGGCGCCACTGAGCGCGTCGAGGGACGAGGAGGGGGGCCGCGAAGCCTCTGGGAGGCTCCGTGGCCCGGGCCGTGGCATCCACGCGCCGCCGGTCGGAACGCCAGTGGGCGCCAGTGCGTGCTGGTCCACCGCGGCCCTCCGGGGTGCGACGCAGGCGGCGCCGCGGGGTGCGACGCAGGCTGCGCACCGTCGGCGGGGCCGACGTGGGGCAGACACGCGCGCGCGATTGGGCCAACACGCGCGCCCTGAGGACCAGCGGTCGCACCCCTCGGACGCCCCTCCCGATGCTTCTCTGGGAGACGTGGGGCTCTTTCTCGGCGGACTCGGGCGGGCCTGACGGCGCCGCCGGGAGAACGACGAGGACCGCCAGTCTGAGATCTGCCGCGAGCTCTCGCTTCGCTGCAGACATCTAGGGGCCTCCTAGACGGGGTCCGGATAGATGAGGTCGGGGGATTGCATCGCATCGTCGATGTACTGCCGTTGCATCGGCGACGCATCGGCGACGTCGGCGATGCATCCGCAACGTCGGCGTGGAGAGAATCGGGCTCCACATCGAGCCTCAACGCCGATGCGTCGGCGATGCGGAGCGAGACCCCATCTACTCTGACCCCATCTCGGAGGCCTGGAACATCCCAGACAACAAAAAGGACCGTCAAAATTCAGGGCGGGCCTGGCAGAAAGCGTCAGCACGTCCGGATTCCGGCGCGCACGCAGTTTGCGGTTCCCCGATGCCCATCGGTCCGAAGAAGTAGGTAGAACCACGAAGTAGGAACACGTTGGAAGTAGATTGGGTCTCCGTCCGCCTCCTCAAGAGGAGGGAAGAGGGAACACCAATCGGTCATTCAAGTAGGAAGGCGGCTAAAGTAGATTGGGATCTGGGAGTCCGAAAATACCGATGTTCAACGACCGATGGGTACCCCACCGCGTCTTGACGCAGCGGCGAGCCAAAAAGGGGAAGTGAGCCCTCGCGCCTTCAGAGCAGCTTCTTGTGTCTTCGGGGAAGGCCCAGAGAACTTCTCGAAGGCCCGAGGCCTCCCGAGCCTTCTGAAAAGGCCCGCGCCCCCCTGCCACCCCTGAGATCTGACGCTGCAGAAGAATCCAACACCGTGAAGAGCCAGCCAGGACCGGGGCCCCGAACTCGTCTGTCTGCGCCATTTATTTCTGGCCAGACCGATGTGAAGGTCCCAGGACCAGAATGGTGCGACCACGCCCGGCTTGAGCAAGGCGTGATGCTCCGCGGCGACGATAGGGGCGAATAGCCCAGGGGCGGGCATTACACGCATTCGCCCAGGAGCCTTGTCGAAGACATCGATCATCGGCGCACCTGAACACATGGATTGCTCTCCCCTGGGCTATTCGCCCCTATCGTCGCCTCTGAGCGATGCCAAAATCTCTGGCCCCCCCCCCGCGCGCCGCCGATTGACTGTACGCGCCTGGGCGCGTGGTGGTGCGTGACGTTCGCTACGCGCGGCGCCCGGGGGCCATGAACTCTGGGATATGCCCTGGCCGCGATACATCCACACACGTACACACTTTTGGACGATCGTGGCCCCGCGCGCAGCGACGGGACGGAGTAAGTCAAGTGCATTGGACGGGACCTCGCGCGTGCCGGCCGCAGAGCTGGGCAGCACCATGTGCCGTCCGTGCGAGGATGGCAGAGAGAAAATGAGGACGAGCGACGACGCCGACAACTGGTGGAAGGAACCCACACGGCTGCGAACGACGGCGAGGACGAGGGACTGGCAGACGCTCAGAGAGCGGGCTACTGCTGCGGACGACCGAGAGAGGAGGCGAGCGGAAAGTTGCAGAAATCCCGAAACTCAGGACACATGTGTGTATGTATGTATGTATGTATGTATGTATGTATGTATGTATGTATGTATGTATGTGTATGTATGTATGTATGTATGTATGTATGTATGTATGTATGTATGTATGTATGTATGTATGTATGTATGTATGTATATATGTATGTATGTATGTATGTATGTATGTATGCATGCATGTATGTATGTATGTATGTATGTATGGATGTATGTATGTATGTATGTATGTATGTAGCAATGTAAGAATGTATGTCTGTATGCATGTATGCATGTATATATGTATGCATGCATGTATGTGTGTATGTGTGTAGGTATGTATGTGTATGTATGTATGTATGTATGTATGTATGCATATATGTGTGAACGTATATGTACAGTATGGCGTGTGTATATATCTATGTATATATATATATATATGTTACCCCCTGTCACGGACCCACCTGTTTGGTGCTGTCGCGCCGGAAGGTCTCCGCTGCTTACATGTCCGCTTGCAGCCGATCAGGATTCGATGAGCAGTCCAACTGGAACGAGACTAACCCAATATGCAAAGGTCCTTGTTGGATTCGAATTGCAATACAATCCAAACATGGAAAAAATCAGATTCCAGAGCCAAGGGATGATTCATGCATTCGAGTTTAATTGATACTGATTACCATTGATTCTTATTGGCCCCAAACGATTATGATTGATTCCTGTCGATTCCGATTGTTTCGTATTGACTACATGCGATCCCTACGAAGTCCTGTTGGTTCCTGGTGGCTTCTATTGGTTAAGCTGTACTCCGACTGGTTCCGACCGATTCCTACCGACTCCTGTCTATTCTTGTTGATTCGTGCTGATCCCTATGCATCCCGACTGCCTCTTTGAATTATATGGAATCCGATCGGTCCCAAATTGGTTCCTAGTGATCCCGTCGAATCTCTGTTGGTTCCTTATGATGCCAAACGATTCCTAGCCATTCCTATCGATCTCTGATCATTACCCGTGGTTCTGGTGAATTTCAATGTTTTCCTATTGGTTCCGGCTGATTCTTATTGGTGCATGTGAATTCCTACATATTGCTGTTTGTTCCATGTGTTTAAAGTGGAGGGAGAAAGAAAAAGAGCGAGAGAGAGAGGCACACAAAACGAAAGAGAGAGAGAGAGAGCGAGAGACAGTAGTGGAGGGGGAGGGGGCCATCTACTTCGCACAAAACTTTCTGGTTTTTCTGATCAAACCATAAGGACGATTGTCTTGAAATTGACTCGATCGGTTCCTTACTCCATTCGAATAATAAGTCGAATGGTTCTCGTTTATTTACAATAGTACATATCGATTATCATTGATTATGATCGACTCCGGTTGATTCATATTGCTTACGAGTGGCCCCTACGAAGTCCGACTGATTCCTGCTGTTTGTTGGTTAAGATATGCGCCTGTTGGTTCCGACTGAGTCCTGTTGATTTCTGTGGACGCGTATTGGTTCGTACTGATCAATTATGCTTCCTGTTGTTTCATATTGATTCTGCTTGATTTCAATCGATCCATGTCGGTTCCAATCGGTTCCTACTAAGTCCGATTGATGTTTATCGATTCCAAATGATCCCCGTTGATTCCTATTGATGCCGAGTGATCTCCAATGATTCCTGATCATTCCGGTTGCTTCCTGCTGATTACTGGTGTTTCCTCTAGATCCCTGTTGAATCCTACTGGCCCTGACTGTACCCGATTGATGCCGATCGATTCCTGCCGACTCTTGTCTCTCCTGGTTGAGAAAGAGAGGGAGACAGGGGGAGAAAAAAAGAGAGAGAGCGCGCGAGAGAGAGGGAGAGTGTGCCTTATATGCGTAGCTAGATAGAGAAACGGAGAGAGAGAGAGAGAGAGAGAGAGGGAGAGACAAAGAGAGGCAGAGAGAGTGAGAGAGACAAAAGAAACGAAACCAGTTTTAAGAGAGAGGGGGAAAGAGAGAGAGAGAGAGAGATAGATAATGTTGAGCGGTATGTGAGGTGTAGGTCGGGTCCTTTTCACCTCAGGCCTGGGCGATCTTGATCACAAAATGGCTTCAGCCAAACGTACATGCATGCAACGCTTCATTATCCTCGCTCGGAACCCCTCGAATCTCTGCGCGCCCCCTGAGGGCGATGTCGGAGGCTCTACGAGGCGGCTGATCAGACCGCTCAACGAGGAACAGTACACAACAGTCAAGGAAACCTGTTCTTGCGAGCCACTGGCAAAAAACATGCCGCTGCGGTGTCGCTCAAGCCCTTCCGCTGGTGGTCCTCTCGACCCTCCAGCGGGATGCCGCATCAGGCTGCTCACTTCACTCAGCCCAGGCACCCTGAGCTCTCTCTCTCTCTCTCTCTCTCTCTCTCTCTCTCTCTCTCCCAGTGGAACAAACCTAGGACTCTCTCGATGCCAAGAATATGTCAACTCGCTCTGTGTCGAGATGGTCCTGCACTCGACCTTCCCCTTCTTGGCCTTGGTGGCCCTCTGGGAGAGCTCCACTTTCTCCTTCATCTGCTTGCTCTCCTCTGTGCGGTTCGGCCTCATGAAGTAGCCGACGCACCAGCCAACACAACCGCCAACTGCGCATGCCACGATCACCATGAAGATCATGGCCATGATGAGCATCATGCCCTGGAGGTGCACGCCAGTCCCGAGACGGGTGTCCTTCAGGATGGTCTCCTTCTTGTCCGTCTCGTAGCCGTAGACGTCGCACTCACCGTCTGCCTCCACCGAGCCCAGGCTGTCCAGGAGAGCGACCAGGGCCGCGCCGACCCTCGCCATCTTGGACGTCGCGTCGCTCACGAGGTTGACCCGAACAGCCGTGCTCTCTTCCATGTCATCCGCGCCTGCCAACGGGCGCCTTCCCAACTGTGCCCTCAGACAAGGGAACCTCTGACTCGTGAGCGCCTTGGTGCCCACGTCGGCTAGGTTCGTCTCCCCAGCCTGCTTGACCACCACCAGCTTCTTGTCTCGCACCTTGGCTTGGAGCCACAGAGTGCGGACTTCAAGATGGCGAGTCCTCCCCACTCCGACGCGGTGGCAGACCGCCTTCCCCGCAGCAGAGTCTATGCGGATCCTGATCTTCACATTCATGTCCAGAAAACCCATCGCGCTCTGGAGATGGATCGCCTCGGCAGCTGCCGTCACTGACGCGTAGTACTCTGCCTCCCCTGAGCTCAACGCTTGGCTGCTCTGGCCGCGCGGGTACTCGAGAAGCGTGCAGCCGCCGCAACACAACACCCCGCACGAAACACTCTTTCTGTCGATGGTGTCTCCAGCCCAATCCGAGTCGGTGTAGCACTCCAAAATATCTGCCTCTCCAGCTCTAGGAAAGAACAGTGCATGGTCACGGACGCCAAGTAGATACCTGCCGAGGTGCTTGAGCCTCTTCGTGTCGTTGTCGGTGGGCGCAGCCAGCCTCTTGCTCAACACGTGAACGGCGAACGTGACCTCCGTGACGTGATTGACCATGTACCTCGCGATGCCCACGCACTGTCGGTAGAGACTGGTCTCCTCGGCGTTCAGAGGATGCTCGCTGTCTTCCTTCAGCAGCTTCGTCACGATGGGCGTGGGCGAGCTCTTTGCCTTGCCGAGGTTCAGTAGCTCTATGATCTTGTCCGCGTACTTCTTGTTGCCCGTCAAGAACATGCCATCCTCGACTCTCACTCGCCCTCCTTTCAGGTGCTGGTACTTCGCACCCACCTTGAGTAACTTGCTCACCTTGATCTTGACCTTACTGCCGAGCTCGGTCGTGAATGCCTGGAGCTTGATGTCGTCAGCGGTCGCGTAGATGTCATCCTGATGAAGCTCCAGGTCCACTGAATCCCGTTCTCGGCGATAGAAACATGACTGGTCAGGACACTGCTCAAACTCCATCTCTGAGACGAGAGTGCGGTTCATGTCGTCGCTGAAACCTCTGCTCGCGTCCCTCTCGCCATAGAGCTTCCTCTTCATCCTCCACATCGTCCTCGTGGTGTTGCCCTTGAGTGCCTCTGCCTCGATCCACTCCCGAGGCGGTGCAACTGCCACTGGCCTGTCTTGGTCCGCGTGGAAGTAGGCGTTGACAGCGTCAATGATGACGGTGGGCTGATTCCGCTTCACCGCCTTGAAATCTATGAGCCTGCCAGTCGCGGGTTCGCTGGCCGGCGTGAAAAGCCCCTCGCGCTCGGGGTCCATGCTCTTGAACTCCCTGGCGGCGAAGCGACAGCGAATCTCTTCGCCCTTCTCCTGGTACACCCACTTGGTCGACAGCCTTGTCCAGGTAGAGTCTATCTCGTCAGGCGACACAGCTTCGAACACATCGAACTCCTGCATCGTGTTGATCTCCTTGCACTTGCCTGCCTTGATGAGGTCAACGTCGTACTCGCCCTCGTGCCAGTCGATGTCCATCTCTGGATCCATGACGGGCATCGGGTCGATCTCGTCCATCACGAAGCCGTCGACGCCTCCAACGGTGCCCATCTCGATTTCTGGGACCTCTGACTCCCCAGTCGGCTGGGCGGGACGAGATGATGAGCTGCCGCCTGCCTCTTGCCTCGGTGTGGGGAGCCCCACATCCTCCATGCAGCCGCTGCCTGTCCTGCTCCTGGCACTCGCGTAGCTGTGCCCGTCCTCGGCAACTCCCTTCTAAACCGTGGTGTCTGGAACCTTCTTCTCCTCCTTGGCGTCGTCGACCTCTGTCTCCTCCTGCTTCTTCTCGGGCGGGGCAGTCGGGAGAATGACCACCCTCTTGCCTTTCGGCCTTCCGATCTGGCCGATGCCTCGGTCCCAGGGGACCCCGACCATCTTGGCCACGAGCTCGAGGTCGCATTGGTCTTCCTCTGGGAGCCTGCGCACGGTCCTGACCAAGTGCACCAAGCTGCTCGTCCCCATGAGGAACTCGTCGCTCTCGTAGGTCTTGCCCAAGAGGATGCCCTTTTCCCACGTCGACTTTGACTTGCGACTGCGCCTGCCTCCAGTCATGTGGCCACTCGGCGACATCGGATGCTTGAACATGGCGGCCTCTGCAAACCTCAGGACGACGCCATGATACTTGGTGCCAGTCGCATCCTGATGAGGAGTCCGTCCATTTGCCTTTATGTGGAACATCTCCGTGATGAAGCCCACGTGTCTAGCAAGCCACGGCCACAAAACATGACCTGGCCCTATCTTGATACCCAGCATCTTCTCTGTTGCAGCTCTGATCGTCCTGGTCTGGCCCTGCAAGATCTTCTGCTGCGCCCCCACGGCCCCGAGCGACTGCGACGAGTACGGGTCTGCTCCACTGTGACCTTGTCGTTGTTGAACTTGAGCCTCTTGGTCGCCACCGCGTTCGCTATGCTGACGATGCCCGGCTCTCCGCCACTCCTGAGCCTGAGCTGCGTGGCGCCCAGCCTCCTGAGGAAGCTCACGATCGAGGTCACCGTATAGTCACGGTTGCCTCCCTTCTCTGGGAGGCTGAGCTGCAGAGGGACGCCCGTGTCGCAGGCGATGACGGCCAACGTGGTGGAGAAGCGGTTGGCCGCATCCTCTGCCTCATCGCCGCCGTCCTTCAAGAAGTGGTAGTCTATCTGCACGACAGGCACCTCTCGCTCCCTGTCCGTGAGAAACTGGACTCCCCGATGGGGTGCAGCATCTCCCTTTCCGAACACGCACTCCAGGCACCAAGGCTCGAACTTCGCGTGGGTGAGCTCATGCTGCCTCACGGTCTCTGCGTCTGGTCCCTCTGGGATCTTCAGCGTCCTCGGTACTTCGGGATCAACGCCTTCCTGGAGTCGCCGTTGGCGCTCCTCGAGGGCCTCCTTGACCTTCATCTTCTCATCCAGCTGGTGCTCGCACTTGACGAGCCTCTCCCATAGCTGCTTCTTGGTGCCGTAGATGGCTGCATCGATGACCCCAAGCCTCCGCAGTTCCTTCAGGCGTGCCCTCAGCGCCTCGACCGACGACTGGGAGCCTAGGATCTCTCGTGGTTGTCCTGCCTGTGGTGGTGCAGGTACAGCTTGAGGTTCTGGCGGCGCAGGTGCAGCTTGAGGTTCTGGTGGCGGTGCTGGCGCTGGCCCTTGCTCTTGAGCCACTGGGTCGACCACAGGTGCCACTCGATGTCTGTGAGCACCCGCCTCCAGCACCCGACACTTCGCGTAGAAGCTCTTCCCTATCATCGTCAGGGGCATCCTCCTCTGAATGCCATTCACGCTTGGCGGGGCCATGTAGCTGTTCCCCGTCTCAAGGTGGATGACAGCCCTTCTCATGACCCTGATGCCGCAGCTGAGCACAAGCTTGCTGAAGTCCCCGATGCGGAATCGGTTCGTGGCCATCACCTCGTGGCCTGTCTCGTCCAGGAACGCGATGCCGACGTTCCGCTCGTCGTAATCCTGGATCTCGTCGTTCGTGGCCGTCCTCAGCTCCGCGCTAGTGGGATCGCCGACGTCGTCGCTCGAGCGACCGAAGCCGAGGGGACACCCATCGGCGCCCGACCCGCTGTCGATCGAGACCCACACGTACTTGCTGCTGTCATTGATGGTGGTCACACTCTCAGCGACGCCCATGACCCACAGCTCGTCCTCCTCGTTGACAATCCCCTTGACTTCAGCATTCTCTGGCTTCGATCTGCACTCCGAAGCCTTGTGGCCTTGCTTCCCGCACTTATCGCACTTGATGTGTGATCCGCAGTCCTTGGCCTCGTGGTCTGGCTTCCCGCACTTGTCGCACTTCTTCTTCTCCCGGCCTCCTTTGCCGCCGTTCTAATCCTTGCTCTCGCCCTTCATCTGGTTCGCTGATCCACATTCTGGGGCCCAGCAGTCTCTTGACCAATGGCCTCGCTTGCCACAGTTCTTGCAGGTGTCGCGATCCATGCCCCGACCCTTTCCAGCATCAATGCTCGCTTGCTTGCCGTGCCCCTTTGGAGGTTTGAAGATGCCACCTACGTCCCCATTCTCATTCACCAGCCCAACGTCCATAGGCATGGGCCCGTCGTACTGGATGCCGCGGGGCGCTCCCGTGGTCTCGTAGACCTTGCCACTGGCGATGTAGTCCGTGACGACCTTGGCCAGCATGTTGTAGTCCTGTCCGATCGCCCCCAGGGCTTGGCGGACCACGGCCTTCACGTCCTCTGGAGCCCACCTGGCCACGACAACAATCCTCGTGCCTTCCGTGACTCTCTCCAGGCACTGGGCCTCGTAGAGCGAGACGCTCTTCTCCCACCCCTTCCAGGCTGCCTCCCAGGTGCGGATGCCGCCCCTGATGGCCGTCTCCCACTCGGGCTTCAGCGCTCCCATGAGCATCGCCGTCAGCCTTCCGCCCGATTTCGGCTCGTACTCTTCCTTCAACCTTTTCCAGTCTATGGCACCGTTGTTCTTCGGCGCCATCTGGAGAATCGCGAGGGCCTTGCCTCTCGTCGTGGCGATCAGCAGGTGGTACAGCACCTTCATTCTCAGCTGGGCCCTCTCCGACTGTGTTGCCCAGCCTAGCTCAGTCTCCTCTGTGACCTCGCAGTGCGTCATGATCTGCTCTAGGTCGACGAGCCCTGCCGTCGATTCGAACACGAAGCACCGCTGCCTCCATTCCTCATCAGCGCCCGAGAAGATCCCAATCCTGCTCAGGATCTTCGTGTCCACGGTAATCTCGGGC